AAAGTTAATCCTGTTATTGTGAACCACTAGGCAATATGCTGTGGAAAGGCAACCTCAAATGATAAATAATTTCACGACTGGCATAGCTGATTTTTTGTGAAATTGTGATAGTGTTAAAAAAACAAAGAAAGCAACACCAAGAGCCATAGTGAGAAAATGAGTGACCCACAATTCAGATTAGAATATTTCATAATCAGTCGAAGCATTCACTATGTCAATGTGGCATACAGGATGATTTAAATATAGTCAACTGTTTGTTTTTTTGCTCAAACTAACGCGGGCAGATGAAACCATATGGTAAAACAGTGCGTGTACCGCGTACAACGGGAATGTGTGGGGTGGAAATCGGTTAAACTATCTCATGTCGCAGCGGTGAACGAACATAGCGGAATCCAGAGAAGCACTCATTTCCATTGCAATGTTATCATGAGACAGAATCATGGAGCATCAGTCATCGTCTCATTCACATCCCTCAGACCATCGTGTCCCTTGTTCCCATAGACAAAAGTGATCCAATCCATGAGGATTAACTCGAATGCATGAAGGACCGAATCCAAAATACGACCACTGAGGCGAATGGGGGGTGGGGNGAAGCCAGTACAACTACTACAGCCGATCACAGTTGAGAGGAGAAGGAAGGGAACGAACGAAGGAATTGGGTTAAATGCAGACGCAATACCAGGAATTTTTCTCTCTCTCGCACACAGATACACACAAAAACACACCGGCGATCTCCACATCTCGTTTCAACTTGAACAGATTGCTTGTTTAAGCAGCCAAGCGTTCAAACCTGCTGGCCCGTCAGACAGCATCACCAGCGGTACGAATACAGACAATGTTAATGTGGATGGCCTCAATGGTTGATTAGGGAGAAAATGACGAGAAGGCGCAAATCTTCTAGTAAAATGTGAATCGATGCACGAAATCTCAAAACCACATCATACAAATAGTTAGACGATCTTAAGATAAAGGAAAAAGGGGAAACCAATGGGTTGAGGAAGTAAAACAAACTGCAGCAAAGGTTGACCAAAAGGGAAACTTAACTTGCAGAAAACATTGGTAGTTGCATAGCGCTTAGCGAAGGGAGCTATCAACCCAGTCTCCTGAGAGCTGGTAGCAGAAAAAGGACCCTGATGGCTGAGTAGAAATAGGCAAATCTATTGCACCAGAGCAGAATTGAGATTGATTAGTGACGGGGAATGATAACTGGATAAGTTTCCACGTGGTTTGGAGAGGTTTTCAGCAAACGTAAACAGATACGTTTAAGGGGTTGTGGTGCACAGTTCAATAGACCAAATAGACATGCACTATCTGCATAACTCAAAGGGATACTAAGAGCCTAAATAAACTCTGCACTTCCCAAGGTTTATGTTGAGCATAGTACGATATGTGCCATAGTCTACATTTTTTTTACATACGGAAACTTCTCACCCCCCCTGCAAGTATTCTAGAGTGAGTGGTTGCCCAGCCAATGGTTCAAAGAGTTTTCATCCCCTATGAGGCAACCTAAATGAATTTCGTTGTTCGTCCTTGTACCGAACCTTGTAATCAACACTAACGAGTGTGCTGACATTCCCTTCGGTCGCAAACTGCCTCCCCCCCCCAAGTTTATCTTCTTCTGGAGAATATTCTCTCCTATTTGGTTTTCCATAATTAAAACAGTTCCAAATTTGACTCTGGCAAATATCTTCGTGTCATTCTCACTTGCTACCTTTTTCTGATCCGATTCTTAAATTTGCGATCAGTTGCTCTCCGAAGTTTCTTGCTGGTACAAGGCTTTGTCCGAATAAAAAGAACTCAATAAAATTGTTCTGAATGAGTTCTGTGTTCGGTTTATTGATACAATGCATTGTCTGCATCACGAAATGAAATTTGTGTCGAATTCTCGATCAAACTTCAAATTTCAATCCCTCTCTACAAGCACATCAACACAAAAAAACACGCGCCTTCCCCATCTGCTGGTTAATCACACGGCATTTGTCACCTGTCTTAGGGAAAGACACTCGCATTGGATTATTTTTCCTGCACTATAATGTCGAATCTGTTTCCCTTTTCTTGATGTATGTGTGCACTGTACCAGTTCGTAAACTGATGCGAACTCAACATTTAGATGAATACAGTTTTCCTTGATTTGATACACCGGTTGTTTTGAATCAATGCAAACTCAGACCAAAGGATATGAACTATATATTCATACATTGGATTCTAGCGAATATCACAGAACTGTATTACACAAAAGTTACAAATTACCAGGTAAATGAAGGCACACGTTAGAGGTATCAAGCTATGCAGTTATTCTAATGTCAGACAGTGCGTAAAAGAACTGTAAGAAAGACAGTGGGTGAAGAAGGTAACGTATTTGAACATTACATTTTCTTTTTAATTTTACTTCATTTTATTAAATTTACAATGATACAATTTTCAGGAAGGGGGAAGCAGCCAATCAAAAGGCTGCCATGGGGAAAGTCAGGCAGTGGTGGTGGGGTTTGAACACACATCTCCCGAGGTGGTAATTTGGTGATGTTACCTCCAGGCCACAGTTGTAATACACATATCGGAGGAATACTAAAGTTTACAGTCGGGAAGAAGTCGATCATTGAGAACAGTCGATAAAACAAGTCCTGAGAGAAAGAGAGTGATGAACGATATCAGACCAAAACAGGTTTGGCTGGTTGTTGCACCGCTGAGGATTTCGAGGATATTTTCTATTCAGTACAGCCACCTACCAACTAGCCCATACAAAAGACGCCATATTTATCAGAGGTTTATATTAACCTGGAAAGCCTGAAACTTCGCGGTACCCAATCAGAACAAAAATTAGGTATCAATTGGTCGGTAACTCGTGTTCTTACTTCTGCATCAAAAAACCTTTCCAACGCTCCGAATCGATGATCGCATTGTGACATCGCTGTATATTTATTCTCCCAAGTCTTTCTTGAGCTCTTAGAGTTTAAAATATCGTTCTTCTGTTCATAATGCACAAATACTTTGGGATCGGATTGAGATTCAGCGAACAGATTGGTCAGGTGAGAGACAATTCATTACCTTAATTGATACTCCCGCAAAATAACAGATCAATGTTTCTGGTATTATCATACTGGTGCAGTGGTTTAGTCGCTGTCACCGGCGTGCTTTGGACCCTATGGTCCGAGCCCCGTCACCACCACCCAATTTTGGTGGTGGGTAGCTCTGCTGTCGTCCAGTTCAATACCACGCCTAACCTAGAGGGGCCTTATGTGGTTCACCACTTCAAGTCCCGGGGCTTAGGTTTCCAGTTTTAATTAAAGAACAGCAGTTCCCCGCGACTTTGGGTTTTACCATATCTGCTGTTCATTATGCGAGGGTGTGTAATAAATGACTGCAGGACCGATTTCCTCAGCCTGGACATCTGAGAGCGCAGAAGCTTTTTCATAAGCGTGCAGTGACATATCCAGTCAGAATCACAAACTCAATCCTTCTTCCATTCCAGGTTTTCCCTCCCAAACTGTTATCATGGTACCAAAGCTTACACAATCATCTGTGCATGTTCTACATGATCCCCATGTATTAATTCTTCCATGATGGTATCTTGAGATTATTTTGTTTCCCTGTGGGCAATTGTAGAGAGGAATTCTTCCTGGGAACCTGGCGTTCGCAACTCTGATGGTTTAAGAGGCGGATAAAACGTCTAGGTGAAGCAATGTAACGATATAGCCTGTGTACCGTTGGTCAAGACGAAAAACGATTTGCTTTTACTATTCCCATCAAAAGCCATTCAGCTGATAGTACTGCCTCATCGACTACTACCGTGTTGCTTATGCTAGTCACCATAAATCAAAAGAGATTAAATCCCGTATCTCACTCTTCGCTTCCGCATCAATAGTTGTCGCCATCACCTACATTAGCATCCCAGATCTCCATATCCCTACACAGTACCATAACTGGTGGGCATCAGTTAAGAATAATATTAACCGGATATCCTTGAGACGTCACTTTCGGTTCTAAACGCCAGAGTACGGTTAATATTTACTGTTGAAGCCAAATTACATGGGAGCGCCCTCAATCGCTCACCTAACTAGATCGAACACTTTCTACGCCTCAAACACTATAATAGGTTCTAATAGTCTCACTGAAGAGGCGTAAATCCATATTGGAAGGCTAAGGAATTTTTTCATCCATCTGTGTATTTATCAACACGATTGAACCCGACATAAGTTGGTCCCCGTAGGTGAAAAGCATTACAATCGACATCACTATGATCCGGAAAAAGCGTGTTCGAATCCCATCATTAGCACCTAACTTTTCCGTAATTATTATCTATCCAGTAAATGGAAGTGAGATTAACAATATTATTAATAGAACGATATAATCCGGGTCGAAATATTACACACTAAACCTGGAATCATCAGTGACTGGTAAAGATTGCGAAGCTAGCAAAAGTGTAACGTCCATCCAGGGACGTGAAATTGATTCAACTAATAAATTAAAACGACAGCCAACAATCGCAGTGTTAGTCAAATNCGGATAGGACGATTAGTGATGTAGTCAAGCAAACAGTTCGGATTCTGTCACGAACAGATCAAAGCCATTGTCACACGTGTCAAAACTGTAAAGGCCGAAAGTGAGACTGTCAAAAAGGGACAGAGCACAGAGGTGAAAATTGAATCGGACAAACGCCACTGCGGATAACACAATCATTTTGAGCCCCCGTACGAGAATCACTCGACAAGCGAACAGAAACAGTACAAAAACAAAGTAGGAATAAGTACACAAATAAAAGAGTTGAATACACAGGAAACGTAAAGAAGAGGAATTGAAATATATTTGAACTGACGCCACGTGAGCTGCCAGATGAATGAATGATGAGAACCACATACGCACACATTCAAAAATAATAACAACATCATGAACCCAGCAGAACCGAAAATGCGAAATTTCTTGCAACACAGAAAGGAAATTCCAGCATCTCGGAAAAAGAAAATGAAACACACGAACAGAGGTACAACTTAAGGAGCACTCACCGGACCGGTTTGACCAAAGCGTTCAAAAGGTGGCAACTGACCGGGTACTGTGGCAGGGGACTCAGAACGTCGACTTTTTGCAGTGAACGCACGAGCTCCCAGAGCACAAGAGGCTCTAACCGGTTGGGACGAAGTTAATCCAACACCAAGGGAGCGGCAAACGCCAGTTCCACCAGTGCCGATTCGCGGATTGACAACGTTGGCACCGATTCCAGTGGTGTTTGACCAATTAGTGGAGTTCACATTTCCGGAGTCCGCCGTACAACGATTGCTCATATTACGCGTGCGAGTTGCCAGTCGACAGTGTGCGGTTGTACTCGGAATGACAGTGGCTGTGCTGATTGTCGAATGCGGACCAGTGGTACGACGAATGAGTTCAGTATTGCTCGTAGGCACGGAATGAGTCCGTGTCTCTAGACCGGGTGTGGGCCAAACCGAAGAACGGAAGGGGGTTGGTTTCCCGACTGGTTTGGCGAAACCCGGAGGGCTGAAACCAGTAGCAGTTGATCCGGGAGAACTTAATTTGCTTGAACAATGTTCACCAGAGGTGTTAATTGCAGTGGTATTTGTCGTGGGAGTTTCCTGACACAACTGAAACCCCTGTATGAAGAATAGGATATCCAGATGAACAATTTCATAGAGATTCACCAGAAGGAATCTACAGAAAGAGCAGATTTGATAGTTCGATACAAATGACAACTATAAATGGGCGTATCCTATTGGTAGGTAACCTTTGAAGTATATTTAGTGCGAGGATATGTATTAACGACCGATAAATCAGCTGCCACATACACATTACCAGCGTTTATATGACGGTTCGTTCAATGAAGGATGAACTGGTCGATGCCGTTTCGGATGGCTACTCACTATTCTACTATTGTTATAATTCCAGAAGACGGTGCTGATCGAGAATAGTTGTTTATTGAGGATTTCAGATGGGATATCACCAATTTATCATCCATAACACAAAACATCTCAACAGAAACATACCATCGCCGTTCCTCGCAGCACAACGGGTATTGCATAGGGTAGTCGGTAATTATTCTTTCAGACACATCACTTGGCCCTCGATCGTCTCGTTATATTTTTGATCATTGAAAGAAATCACCAACCATGATACCTAATACTCACAAGTGAGTAGTACCTTACAGCACTATGGCTAATTCTAGTGCCTGAAATATTTGTCCGAGATGCTACGGATGAGAAACAACTGGTATTGGAATAAAGCGGAGATGATTGATGGTCAGTATGCAGTAGGCAAGTGGAAGAACATTAGGCTAGCAGTATGAGAACCAATGTGGTGTCACTCTAATATGAACACGCAACACCAATCGTTGGGAGCACTCATCAGCGTAGTTTTATTGCTTCGTAGTAAATAAGTGGACATCTAAGCGGGCGGAAACTACACGAAACAATCTATTAAAAGAGTAAGCAATTTCAACTTACCATCAAAAATAAATGCAGTTTATTTTATGCCTAAATGACTGCAATTTATGGTCTACCATAACTGGCTTGCCGAGTTTTCATATTAACTTTTCGGTCGGAAAATGTTAATGCGTGGGAAGGGAGGGGCTTGTTTCGAGTTCGTCTATTGGGACAAGAGGAAATTGGGAGGCAGTGATTTTATGCAAGTGGAACGACTGTAATCATGCACAACTGCACACAGGAGAAAACCATGACGGCCACCACTAGTTCGACTTTGCACATCGCGAGACAGAATGCGAAAATTCGGAGCGTGAAATTCCGTTTCATCAAATACATCACGCTGGAATGTCTCAAACCAGACACAACTGTGCTCCACGAATAGATACAAAGCAGTTCCAATGGGACAGACTAGGACAGGAGTTAAACGATTTGTAAGCAAACAATAAGAAAGTAGACAGAGAACTTGGACGGTTGTTCGGGAGGATGAGGTGAGAGAGCGGGGACCATTTCACCAATCGTTTGAAAAGGGATGAGAGAAGCAATTAATTTGATCCTTCATTGCGACGCACGACAATACCGTTCGCAAATCAGTTTTCCTATTGACAGATTTGAGATCCGCGTTTGTCGATAATAAACACACACACACACACACATATATATATATATATATGTTTGCGATTCAAACAGTTCGCATCACTGATAAACCCTAACAACAATGAAACAGGAGTCCAGTGTTCTTTGTCGGTCAACATGCGATTTCCGCACCCAGTCTCATTCATTTTGTTTGTCTTATTTACTTTTATTACACACTTAAGTGTGATGGTCAGCAGACGGGGTGAACCCCATGGTCACGAGGACCTGTTGTTCAGTGGTGGAAATCGGCAACCTAAGCCCCGGATCTTGGAGTGGTGGACCACATAAGGCCCCTCTAGGTTGGGTTAGGCGTGGTATTGAACCGGCCGACAGCAGAGCTACTTGCCACCAAAGTTGGGTGTCTGTGTCGGACTTGGGCCATAGGGTCCAAAGCACGCCGGTGACAGCGACTAAACCACTGCACCACCACTACCACATTTAATGTGAGTGGCTGATCGTTAGAGTTACAGTTAAGCTTGGTCATATGAATGCTTGTTGGTATAAATACAGTGTATTTGTTACTGCTTCCATGATGAAAGACTTCATGTGCACCGTTTGGAGACAAGTAATTTAATAATTTATTTGAGATAAAATTATGTTACCTATCGGGACATTTACTGATATATTCATATATATTTACCACCAGATTGCGGACAAGCGTGGTGCCAACGCCACAATAACAGAGGAAGGGTGGATTGGAATACAAAACAGAGTGAAAAAAGTAAAACAGTTAAAATGGAAAATAGCCAATAACTGGAATAGCACAAATTTGTTGTGTTTCACTGTACACTTTTTGATATTTTGTGTTAGTTTGTCGACTTTTACGAGGCACGAGATTTCGACAGGCAGACCGTACAGCATTCGTGCCATTGACTTCTATTCTGGGCCATATCTCTCAGTGTCTCTAACCAACAACAGTGTTCATCTTTTCTATTGTATGAAAAGCTTATGCGATTCAGAATAGTTGTATTGACCAGAATAAAAATTCATTAGAAAGTATGAACTTTCATCTTGCTCTGCACTAAATATGTTCTAATTTTGAGCTACATCTAACAAGCTACTACAAACTTTACTATCACATTTAAGGTTGCGACTGTTCAAATTCTGATACAAAAGTATTAATAACATTGCCTTAGGAGATAAGGTTTGGAATCAAAGCTGTTCAGCTACAGTTACCGATATGCAAAGATGATATCAGAAAGTGAAATACGCTTTAAGTGAGGGTCATGTCAAACGACCTCGATTAGCAAGTGTGAGTCACAAACAGACTGAAAATGTTGACTACAACAACAGAATCATCCGATGTGAAATCAAGTGCTGGAGTGGCTGGAGCTCGGTTTAGGAAACAGATCGAATAAGACATTAAGTAAGTAGGATCTACACTGGATAGACTTTCCGACTAGCCGCAATTCCGGAAGGCAAATGAAAAATCCGCAATGCGTTTGGCTATGAACAGGCGGCAGCTTGAGATGAAAAGCTCGCATCCATCATCATTATTATTCAAACGTCATTGGGATTTTGGAAAAAGCTAAGGGGTTGTGACAAACGAGTATGAATGAACAACTAATCATCAAAAGGGAAATGCAATGAACAAGTTGCTTCAGAAAGCCCAATTCCAGAAAAGTTAAAAGAAAGATCGGCATTCCGTGAAATAAAGAATGGACGTGGAGTTCATTGGGAATAGCAGCCAACCTAAATGAGTACAATCATCCGGAAAGCATGCGTGATCGACCAATTCGCCTTGAGTTGTTACTGGGTTCTAGGATCTGTCTGACACATCAATCCAGACATGATAAGGTCTTCTGGGTTCCGAGTTTGACCAACAGTGCTCACAACTGATGGCGTCAAATCAGATTAAATCACAGGGAACAAAGGATATATCTCTTGTTTTTCTGGACCAAAAAAGATCTCCCGAGTCGTATTGGTAGTAGATGCGATTTAAACACTGAAATAAAATAGTGCGGACTGAAAAAATACTGCCATCTGTCATGGAACACGAATTATTCAAAGACGATAAACTAGAATCCTCAACAATATGGGCGTGATTGGGCACAAAGCATTCCGTTTCGCAAACCGCTTAAGCCTATACACCCTGGAAGATATGAAACGCCTATTTCGATACAGTATCAGAGTGCTGAAAGGATCTTCAATTCTAATGATTTTTTTGTCAAAGAATACAAGACCACTGCTATGGATGGGTTTGCTTTATCCTGGATTAAAGGCGAAAACCCAGATAAGTTTAACATCGGAGAAAGACAAATATACGAGGAATGGTTTGAATTGGCAATTTTGATGGATTACAACGAAGGGGAAACACGTACTTCGGGGAACCACAGAAAAATCAACACAACCGCAATTGCCTCAAAACTGTTTGTTAGAATCAGTCTACTGATTATCTGCTCACATGAACGATGTAAGCACGATGCACACCCAACGGCAACGTCTTTAATCTAATCTACGCAGATGAAATTGTATTACCGAGAGAGGAAAACAATTAGCAGGAAACTTTACTAGATGATTTGAGGATTAGTGTGGTTACGTTTGGTAAGCACCTCTAAAGTATGCAATGCTACCATCGGATGACGTTGATGCGGTCCGGATCACAATGGAGAAGGTAGTCAAATTTTGTTACGTAGACAACTAGAGCTCTCTCGGGGAAAGAATCTCAGATGATACGCATACAGGTTTGTCTTGAATCGGTCAGATAAAGTCTCCTCGGCATCGTCGCAACATCTGGCTATCTACGAAGGGTTACGTATCGGCTCGACCGATTCCACGTCAAAAGAAACATAGCCCTCTTGCGTGGGTGAAAAATGCATAACATCGGTATTCGATCTTCAGTGTCTACGCAGCACAAGTCTTGTGAGACGATCGGGAAAGCAACCCGGAGGTTGGTGGAACAGACCGCACGATTAACTCAGCAGATCAACTGCATTGTAATGCAGATGAAGCGACCTAGCCCGTAGCAAAGTTGATCAGAGTATGCAGATCAACATTCTCAATAATTAAACATTGTAAACAAGATTAACATCCCCGGTCATTCACGTCGACCAGCAACCTTAACAATACCATTGCGATATATGATACAATAGAGCGTTTGGGTTTTTTATTACACAACATTGTGTGATGAACAGCAGACGCGGTGAGCCCCATGGTCACGAGGACCTGCTGTTCAGGTGGAAACCGACAATCTAAGCCCCGGAACTTTGAGTGGCGAACCACATAAGGCCTCGATAGGTTAGGTTAGGCGTGGTATTGAACCGGACGACGGCAAAGCTGTCATATTCCTAACCCATATTTCGCGGTTTTCCATGATTGCCTAATTAAATTTAACCTGTCCGAGAAACCATCAGTCAATAATTTCAATACGGAATCCGTGAGTATTTCGGTGGCGGGTGCATCACAATGGGATGGATTGATCACTCTTCCCTCTACTTTCGAGGTATAAACGTTTAACTTTGTGATTGCATACCCCAACCAAAAATCACACAGCTGCAAAGAATCTGTTGAACATAGTCGATCGAATTGAAATGACCATTTTTCATTCAGAAGAGGACCAAATTCGATGAGTTCCAATTCTTGGATAGTAAACAGTAGAGAGGTCAGGCGATTTCCGTGTGTGTAACACAAGCACGGCCAGCAATCACATTTTTGCAAAGAAAACATCCGCTCAAGTTCCCGCTCCCCTTGCCCTGTCCCCGGTGCTAGCAGGTGGCACCATAGAGCAAGCATCCACAGGTGGGCCTAGTACGGGCGAACAAAGACAAGCGAGTATGAGTTTCCAAACACCGGGGCCCCCACCCCGTCCATGCGGNTGCGGCAAAAGGCCTGTGCACAGAACCACTTGCAACGGACCTCCCATATGACCCCGAACTCGGACGAGTTGGATTCTGATGAATGGTTGATTAGGCTAGAAAGAGTGACAATCACAACTGGAATAGTAGCACGGTGGTCCAAACCTTAAAACAATTCGGCGAAAGCGAAATTCGCGCAATTTAAAAAATTGGAAAAAAATTCAGAGAAGGGACAACAGAAGGTGTTCTTCAGGTACCGCGAAATTGTCTTTTAGAAAATAAATCAATTAAGAAAACAATATGATGATAATTGTTATTAGATTGTAGCAATATGATCTATACGACCTAGTTCAGTTCAGAAAAAACGAACGATGGAAGAGGATGGAAAAAGAAAATGCGGAACAAAAACGTACATGACTCAGCCGTTGAAGTACCATTTCGTAGAAAACCTCGCGAACTGTCATCGGTCGGCGAAGATAGACGAGACCAGGTTCCTTATCAAAGCTAGAGAAGACGGGGGGGGGGGTTGATAAAATCAGTCGAATCTGTTNTTATGAAAAACCTACTTGTGCTTGGCTTCCCATTCTTCCGGACTGTATCCATACGGTACCACACGATAATCATGAAGGGTGTAACAATCACTTTTTAAAGTGGATGGATCCGGAGAAAAGTTCACTGCAATCGGTAACGATGCGGGAGTGGATACCGATTTCCAGTCGACACCTTGAAATCCGTATGGCAATGAATACAACATAAGTATAAGTAGGATACGTTTGGGTAAAAAATCGCGGTTGATCTCAGAAAGGTGAGTTTCAGATCAAAATAGAATAATCCAGGTTAAGAATCGAACCAGAACACAAAGGGACTTTATGCAAAAGGACTGATTGCAGAATATGGAAAAAGTTGAAACAATTTTTCGTTAGCCTGTTTCAGAAATGAAATGAGCGAGTGTAGAAATCATTTCGAGAGGAATCAAACAGTTGCCGATAGATTTGATAAATCATTACGTATTACAAAAGGGCTTCCGTTTCTGTGATGGAAGGTTACCAAGTTAACCTAGCAAACGCGTTCCAGGTCATCGCAAGAACCGGTAATTGACCAGTATTAAGATACATTGGAGTGATGTCTAGTATTTAGCTAAACCATAACTGGGCTTCTCAGAACATGTGTGACACATCAGATATTACCCTTGTCGGCAGTAATTTTGATAACCACAGTCGTTGTAAGGAAGAATGAGGCTCGGCAAGCTTTTACGGTTTCTGTGCCACGTGTGGTCGAGAAGGCAAAAACGTATGTCATTTGAACTCCCATGTGTAGTGCACCATTACGATAGGACGGGTTCCTGAATCTTCAGAGAGATGCAAAAGCAACAGACTAATCAGTGCGTTGATTGGTAGGTCCCATTTTGCCGACTATTCATATATTTTGAAGATATCGGCCTGGACGTTGTCCAGGTCGTTCCGGTTTCTAATAAGTTTTACTTCAGCTGCATGGAAAAAACTGCGGCTTCCTCGATTTTAGGTGATGTCGTTTACGCAGATATAAATAGAAGTGGTGCTAACGTACAACCCTGGACAACACCATTGGTAGGGCGTCCAACATTAGAGCTGGCGTAAAGGAGTTTTACTGCGAAAGCATGATCCGAGGGGAGTGATCGGATCCAGCCGCAAATAGTGCTAGAGATTCATGCTGTCCTCAGTTAAGGGTTTTTTGGAAGTCTAATTAGCAGACCCCGACTTGTGAGTCCTTGCAAAGTCTATCAGTGATAACATCTGGGAAAGTTGGAAGGTTTGAAATACGCTTTGCCTTTCAGGAATCCGTGCTGCGCATCGCGAAAGAAATCATTATTATATAGAAAGGCAAGGATCTTGTCTCATAGCATGTGTACCTGATTTGGAAGAGGGAAAATTTTAGGTGTTTGAAAATACACAAAGAAGTGTGTTCCATAGTTTTGCAGTTCGATGAAAATGTACGATTGTAAGATGAATATATAGGATGTGCCTGTAATCGGTATGAGCAAGAAAATGATGAATAGAGGGACAGCCGAAACCATTTATGACATAAGGAAATCAAAATAATGACACAGAGATTGCAAAGCAAGTGATCAAAGAGGTTCTCTGTCTCTTCAATTAGCCCCGATCCCTGTCTATCTTATGCAGTCTCATTTGTTTCGCGCACACCTTATTTCGTGGTACCATGTGATGACCTTGATCATATTGACCTTATTTAACTCGTTCAAATCTCCTTCTCCATCCACTATCTCAGAGATACATACACCGCACATTTCTTTACTCCGAACTTAAGTTCATCAAATTGCTGAGAGCATTATCAGTCTGAGATAGTTTAAACGGACATCGAAGGTTTTCTGTATCCCGTGCAATGTTATGCCACACACACTGTCCATTTGACATGAGCACTTCCAGTTTTACGTCATATATATATGTGTACGAGGCCAAATCGGGACACCCTAAACAGATGGGCAAATTAAACTATACCGAAATTGCTCCTCTGAGATCGTTATGTTATCATCAACTCTTAAGTAAACAAAGTTTCATTCAATTGTGGATGAGAATCTACATCAGAACGCCTGTCCATACACATGGTTTCCCTGACATATCAGAAGCCATTGCTTAATGAAACTCCAAGTATGAGGTTCTCAAGGACCCCAAACACAAGCTATCTCGATCTGGTTGGGTCTCATCAGCAGTGCGAATCCAAACCTAACTGAAGAGGGCGAATCTAGGACTTCAAAAATGAAACGCAAACACACTACCCACCATTGTAAGGTGCTGATCAGCTTTTCACTTCAAGCTTGTCGCTCTATACGCGACGAAATTTACTGTAAAATCGAATCACATCCCCCACTACTCTCATGTGACAGCTTACAGACGCCCACCTTCTTCGGAGAGATGAAGTATTTACCTTTGAGAGAAGTTACCGCAATGGAGTTAAAAGAATTTTTGAAATGTCTAGTGTACACCGGTGGTGTGCAAACAAACGGAAAGTGACCCTTTCGTAGAAAACTTTCGTCAGAAATGCTTACCAGCTAATATTGATGTGTGTGCGTGTTGTCAACACTCGCAAACAACAGTCAACCAGTGCGACAGTATAGATGGAAGCCATTTGCGGCAAAAAAACAAGCACTAGAAGTCAACGAGACTCAACGGACAAGTTACTGACAGACGGGGGTTCGAATTATGCCCGTGACGACGTTCTCAAAATATGACACACTAAGCTGTACGGATCATGTGAAAACTTGCCAACAGTTGGAGAGAATTCGGAGTTCAGTGATATTACTGAACATCACGTGGTCACAAATGTACTTAGCCAATCTACATTAGATAGAACATATTCACTAAAACTCTTGCGTGTTGCAAACAAGTTGAAGCAGAAGCATAAAAGGCGTACTTATGACTGGAATAAGTACAAATCATAGACCGTCAGTATAAGGTCGACTGGATGCATAAAATGAGGAGAAAACAGGTGCAACGAGATTCAACGAGAGTGACAACGATGATGGTAGCATTAGGCTATATTTCAATCAACCCAGAAGGATAAGAAGAGAACAACGGGCAGGAAGTACAAATCCATTAACAATACACTGATATGAAACCCGATTGGGTGGAGTACGGGAAAAGAAGAGTCAGAAAAAAAACCTACGTGAGAAAACCATGCCGACGACGAGGGACGGAATGATTAATTCCATTAGGTGAATCCTAGATCCACCGATTAAGTATAACTGTGTATCTGTTAAATTTCAGCGCACGAAAGCGGTGACCGGGAACAGGTCATGCCTGCAAAACTCGTGACGGAAGGGACTAGTTGAGCAGTTCGAAACAGGACGGGCACAGACCAGCGCAAATGTAGGTGGACTGTGCAAATACGCACGCGTTCCGATGACCACGGCAAAAGTGCACAGATACAAGTCACGAAGGAAGGTACGAGTCAAACTGAAACTCACCAATTAATTTCAACGTATTCTTCAGCATAGCTGAAATGAACAAGAGGAAGAAAAATAACGGAAAATGGGCAAAACATATCGGATAGAATTAAGATTTCATCATCATCATCACTGCCTAGCATTTCCAATAATGTGAACCAGAAGATAAGTCAAAAATTGTAACTTATGGGAATTACATATTACAAATGGAAATATCACATGAATGTACAAGAAGTTCTAATAAGAATACACTGACATCCGGGATAAAAACAGGTATCCAGAGACTGACAGGTATAGACTGTACGCGTCGTACGGATTCCAGATGAACACGTGCTGTCAGCTGTTCAAGGTAGTGTTGATAATAAGAGGCAGGAGGAAGCACAACAATTAACCTATGAGTAGCTAGTCACAGCATTAAAAAAACATCAGACCAACTGACGCCAACGAAATTCTTTTCACAGCACTGGGGAGCAAACGGTGACAACCCGGAGACAGCGACCACCAATATACCAAAGCTCATACAATAATCAGCTATACAGATCAACCAGACGGTATATTTATCAAGTGTAACAGGTATCCAAGAGAACGGTTTATTTCTGTCATTATATTGTCACGTCTGGACAGGAACAAACGATCACTGCTATGTCATTTTCCATTCCGGGTCAAATGACAACAAATGAAGAAATGGTAAGACACAGAGGATATTGTATTCCATTAGCCACTTATCGACAATCACAACTTTAACAGATACACGTATCCTTTGCAGAGCTAGTGGGGTGAAAAAATGTGAATGATGAAAACGAGGATAGAATGATTGGAAACAAATTTTCCAGACCGATCAGCATAATTCTGTGCTTGATTTTCATGGGGTCTCACTGTGGTGTCCTGTATGAAAGTGTTGATTGCTACTAGGCGATGCGTGCTACGCATAAAGTTCAATTTTACGGCCGTGAATGGCCAGGACCACCGCATGCCTTGGTACTGTTGGTGTGCTAAAGTGCAAAACAGCCTTCAGGATTTGGACAATTTTATCTGTGAAGAATGATGCGCACCCAGGCTGCAGGTTTTGTTGTCATTCACACTCAAGGGTGCTGAAGTCGGTCATAAAAGTACTAAACGCTTCATCGCAACAGTCAATCACACTTATCACGTGGTTGAATTGGACAGTTTCTTTAACCGTTCCCCTCCTCGTGCACCAAATCTAAATCCACTCAAATTCAGATGCTCAGCTATCTACATTGACAAAAAAAGAACAAAATTAAGGAATTTCGATTATCGAACATATTCCAGTGTGGCATCGACGCGCAATTACTAACGCCCACGACATTCAACACAAGCGGGACCCACGGGTCAATGACA